GAGCATCCCACGCGTGACGTCTAGATTTTTACTGTGAAACGTTGCGACCTAGCTACGTTGTAAGCCACAATTAAAAAATCTTTGTGCAATACATTAAAGGGAAAAGAACCTTTTGCCATACAAGACGGACGGCTGTGAAATACTATGGTAAAAATGAGTAATTAGGCAATTCAGTGAGAACGACATAGAAAAATGGCTCCACCGTGCTGGAAATGGTCTTTCGTCATTTCATAAAAAACAACTGTGTAATATGTAATACAAAGTAAACTGATTTTTCCACGATAGTAACACAGCATCTGAAGTCGAATCGCCGAGTAATAAATAACTGTGAGAAATATGGGGGAAATATGTTTTTGATCCTTGTTAATAACTTTATCGAAAATTCAAGCCATTAAACGGGCATTTAGTCGTCAATCAGAAAATATCTTCCTATCCTTCAGTCGAAAAGGAGAGAAGCTCGGTTATGATTTCTGATTCTGTCATCGACACTCACCAATGAACACGGATTTAATAACGCCATGCAGCTACGCCGTAGAAGTGCTTCGATCTGCAACGTTCGGACAGAGAACGTCTGTCTCAGCATAAAATATTCTCAGAAGAAGAAGAAATCATTTTCTATTCTTATCCATAAATAACAAATTAATAGCTTCTTGAAATATTCATTGTTAGCTTCACACGATCGAAAATTATTTTAAAGGTCAAATTTAATTTTAAATTTAAAATGGGACCAGCGAACTGAAACAAATGTACGTGATGACCAGGATCAACTTTCAGCATAAAACACAACGCGACAACTTGTCCTACTCGGGTGCAACTCATCTGGAATTGTGTTCTTAGAAGCCACCTCAATTAATCAGTAGTTTGTTTTCTATTATGATGTAGGGTTAGGTAGTGCACATCAGCTGCATACTAATCTTAGAATTAATGAAAAACAAAAAACATTGAATATACATCGTTTCAACGTGCTGTACAGGCTGACGTGTGCTCAAGTCTTCCTTCTAGCAAAGGACCGTATAAGCTTTACACAAAACAATGAATAATGTTAATTTCCTGATCACTTATTATCCGGCTAGGAGTTACCGATCAGACTCAAGAGAACTTGACATAAGAAGATATTTCTGCCTCGAGCGCCAATATGAGCGTAACATTTTTCAGCGAAAACGGTTCAATCCTGCGCAAGATCTGCTGGCGCAATTGCTGACATCAAGGCTGCTTCCCGCATACCAGGCAGTCTCTCGAGAACAACCACAACATCGAATAATAAACTTGAACCAGAGATTAAATGAATAAAAATGCAGCATTTTCTTGAGGCAGTAAGTCAGTCTAGGTGCTGACGAGACACTCCAACAGACGCCAAATGAAGTTTTAACGAAGGTATCTGAGAAAATGTTCGCGGTCGCCTTACACGTCTTGAGGCTGGAATTAACCACACATGTCATCTCAATATTAACTATTGCATAATTAATAGGCCAGGCAGTGGTCTCACGCGCTTCTGAAGCAAGGATAACAATAACCACTAAATTACGAGCGGCATGTCTCTGAAATTATACGGAAATATTGAGGTCATCGTGACAAATTCATAATATTACCGGTATAAATTGACTGTCTGAATAAAGATAAAGAAGAGATTTATTGTGTTTGAAATAATAAAGAGAATGGAAATAAGAATCTCAAGTGAAACGGCTTCAAATTTCATCAATGTGAAAGAAAGCGCGGAAAATAGGTGCAAAAAGTTGGTGGTAATAACTTCGTTATAACCTGGTAAAGAACCAATTATGGGCAATTCAAACAGCTAAGCAGGCTTGCCATTCCCTTGACATTTCCTGGCTATATATATGATATTACGCGGAAATATATGGCGGTGATCCTCGACCACTGAACTCTAGCTACGTGAAACACGTGAACTTTCATGTTCAGGGCCAATACTTTCAAAAAAAGTTATGAGATCGTAAGTTCATCAGCCAATCATTGACGGCCTTTCAAGTAAAATTCACCAATCATAGACAAGAAAATAGAGCGTAAGTACTTACGTTCACTTAGCGAGTTTTGAAAGTATGGCCCCTGAACACCATAGATTAGCCCGGACACTAGACTTGCCTAAAGTTAGTCTTACAAGAGCAATGAGGTCATGATATTAGCATATACGTTACTCACTGCACGACGGCCATAAACTTGAAGCTTCGATTTATTAAAATTTGCCGCTAATCTTAACCCTCCACCACCGTATGTCACTCTCCGGGAACATAACTTTCAACTTAAATTATACGTAAACTATTGTTTGTATCAACCTGAGGACGTTTGTACGCAGAGAACATTTTAAATTTGTCGTACGTGGCGGAAATCATCTGAGCAAGTCATTTTGCGCCCACTAGCAACTTAGCCTTGTTGGGAAGTGGGCTTGTGACAATATTGCTCCGGTTACTCATGTTAGGCGGTAGAGAGTTAACTAGAACTCACTGGAATAAGTTTTTTATAATTTAATGGATTTATTAGCCATAGAGACAGAATACGCTGCAGGGTTGACGAGTTTCGAGTACGAAAAGATGCGTGCGCCATGAACAGTTGATTGTGCGCCAGGCTTTTCAACAAATGCTGATGACTGAAATGCTGATGATTGAACAACAACAAATGCTGATTTTTCAACAAATGCTGATGACATTGAAAACGATGAGCGCCTCTGCGGTACTATTAGTCTCGTACGGTCACTGCTACGACAGGCATTATTTTTTCAACTTAACAACTGAGCCAAATCTCATTGATGAAAGCATTTATTTGGGTCATTACGGTATATTCAGTACAGGTACTTTAAGAGTATTAAAATAAATACATATTTATTAAGGGATACTATAAAAAAATCAGACGCTTACAAATTTTTGACTTTCTGCTCACAAATTTTATTTATTTTTTATTTTTGCTCTTTAATAAATTGAGCACTTGAACATTTTTAAAACCTAATAATTGCGTCTGAATCAAAATCAATAATAATCGTCTGTAACAAAACTATTCACCAGCTTCAGCCGATTAAGCTGCTTTTCGTGCAATTATTAATAACTTAGAATTATACAATGAATTGTATCGAATACGAAGCTCATTAGCTTAAATAACATTCATTTGGAACATTAACTCATCGTTTGAAGTCGTGTATAAAGTTTTGCTTAGCTTACATATTGAAATAAGAAAATAGCAAAATACATTCGTCACTACCTAGAACATTCCACACAGTCCTGGGTACTTCACAGACATGGCAATTGAAATAAAGTTAATTTTTGATATCTCAGCTGCGTATCTTATAATTAAATGATCTGTACCTTACCTTGATGTGCGCGACAGTGACTGATAAGTTAACACAATCTTACCTTCTCGTGTAGACGAGCCTATTCTTGACAATATTCGACACTCACCTGTGAGAGAAAAAATAAAGAATATTAGCTGGAAACTCACAAATTGCGTTTTGATAATGATATTTGAAAAAACGTAAGATAGAACAACTAGTATAATCAAGAATAACACAGAACACAGTTAACTTTCAGCGTGTAAAATAATGTGATTGCAATTAATTGTATGGGAGGAACTTACTTTCTTTGAATGGGCTGGAGAAATTTATGGTACTACGTTAATATGATCTAGAAGAAAACAAAGCATTTAATCTTTTCGAAAAGTAAACTGAATTCATGCGAGAGTTGTGAACAAACATGATATCAACTGCTACTGATCTGCCATTATAGTCTGAAATTCCGTTCAATATCGTAGACATATCAGCGATTATTTGATTCTAGAACGTTCTAGAATTATTTGATTACTTTCTCGTGAACGTAAAAAATTTACAATATCAGTGCCAACAAAAATCAGCTCGGGTTCGCCATCATGTGACCCGGTAACTCTTCTAAGTAGATTTATAATTTTATTCACTGCAACAGAAAAAACCTAAAAAAGGCTTCAGAACTTAATATCTTACATCGAGAATTATTTGCCCGCAAAATTTGGCGAGAATCGAGCGTCGTCTGCCTCTTGTTCAGAGCATAAATTAAAATGAAGAGGAACATGAATGGAAAGTTTAACAGGAAAGAAGGCGGGTGCACTAGAACAGTCAATATTACATTTTCATGTTAGGTTGATATGAGATGAGACTATAGTAGAGTGAGAACATTCCTGAATACTCAGAACCAGACTTTTCAATAATTGAAGGCATCCAAAAAATGAATGTAATCTTTGACACATAGAGCGTAAGGGTATATTTAGGAACTAGTCGGGGTTCAAACTAATTTCGATGGCCAACGCTGGCTTCCAATAATTCAAGTCAAAGCGCTCTGACAAAGGCGGCGATACAACGTGGCCTGTGACTGCTACGTCCGAAACATATACTAAAGACAACCTCAAAGATTTTGAATTTAAATTAACAATTTGTGAGCATTTGTTCATGAATTAACTTCAGCGAATAATGAAAGGCAAATGAATATCATACGGAAAATAGAGAGTGCAAAATTTCACAAAAATTCAATTTTAGTATACGTATCACTTTCAAATGATTTCGAAGCGCTCTACCAGGTAGATGTGAGCTATTTATCAATTAGCTCAGTCTTCTGATTTCAATTCAGGCTTTAATTCACTTATTCGTTGTTTTTTAGAACGAGAAAGATCGCGAAAGAACCTCATTTTACCACCCGAAAAAATATAAACCAAGTTTCATTACTCTCTTTGTATTCTATAATTTAACTTAGTTATGCCGTTAAGACTTCATTGCGATTTCTACTCTCTCAAACTGTAAAACAAAGTATTCGTTTCGTTTTAGTCTTTAATTCACAAGTTTATTTAAGCCAAGAGGACCACCTTAAACGACTCAAGACAAGGCCAGAGGAGCCCAAATCACCTCTTTTTTAGCCTTCTTGAGCCCAAATCACCTCTTTCTTAGCCTTCTTCAGGCCCAAATCACCTCTTTTTTAGCCTTCTTCAGGCCCAAATCACCTCTTTTTTAGCCTTCTTAAGCCCAAATCACCTCTTTTTTAGCCTTCTTGAACCCAAATCACCTCTTTTTTAGCCTTCTTGAGGAAGTTGGTGTCGGCGAAGTGGAAGGCATGTTTGAGGGCGGCGACGGGGTCCATGTGGTACAGCGGGTTCTGGATGAGGTACTGGTGCAGGTGCGCTGCCGCGTACACCGCCGCGTCAGAACCTGCGTGCCCGTCGAACACGCCGTAAAATGCGTGTGGTTCGCCGTACTGCGCACCAAATCACATCATTACTCGTCACATAACGACAAATTAGTACAAAACAACATAAAGACATACATATAGTCCAACATCACGACAAATTGGTCGTAAAAAAAAACAACGATATACACAGAGTCTAACATCACGACAAATTAGTACAAAACAACATAACGACATACATGTAGTCCAACATCACGACAAATTAGTATAAAAGAACATAACGACATAAAAATAGTCCAACGTCACGACAAATTAGTATAACAAATATGTTTGAAAATACGTGTTATAAGGCATGTGGCTAGTAATATAGTACACTACGCATTGCAATAACTATTGTTAGAACTAAATTCCCGGTACATTAGTGAAGTGTGGGAGAGGGGAACAGTAAGTAATCTGTCCCGACAGCGCGTAGGTATAATGACTCATAATGTGTTGCAAATGAACTGGAGCGAGATAGCGTGATGTTATGCAGAACCTACAAGAATGATTATGACAGTTGCTTGTTCAATTACATTACATGAGAAATACAGCGGAGGGAATATATTACCGAATAGAAGAAGCCAGCTTTAATTGAGGCTTAAGATCAAAACGAATTGAACAGATGATCGTATGTGTGATCGTAGTGAAAGAGAGGACGGAGGAAGCGACAGTTGGGAACAAACATCGGTAAGCTTGGCAAAACAGAACCTCACAGGCTAATGCAACAATTGCCAAAGTTTATTGCAAATATTAACATAATAACTCCGGGGTGTTTAGGTCATGAGTTAGGTATGTTCTAGCTCATCTCATTACAGAGCAACAGAGCAACGCTTGGAAACGTCAAGAGTTGGATATTAGGTTAGAAGGCTCGGGTCAAGTCTTCGTGTTCAAGTGAGCAAATCGAGCAACAAGTCAAGGTTCAAGTCAACTCTTAAATAAGAATGGACGAAAAAATTAGGCAAGATGAAGCATGATTAATCAATATCGAATGCTACATAAACTTTTGTCTTCGTAGTCAATGAATGCTATTCGTATCGCAGCTAATGTTATATAATAATGCCTTATGATGAGAATGATCGTCAGTACGCAAACGGTTACCGTATACCATTTTGTCGACAAAAAAATTAGCCGCCGTTTGAGCTATTCGAATCAAAGGACTGGAATAGGAATTTATTGCCAGTAATCGAAGAGTCTAAGCTGAATAACGAAGGTTAGGCAGAAATTTATGGTACAAATGTTTCCCCATAACTTAGCTCTGAAATGGGCTAGCATGAAACACGTAGAGTTACACTTTATCACAGAAGAACAAATGATGCCAGCGAATACAAACAATCGAAGGATTAGACAAAAAGATCAGGAATTATACAAGAATATACAAAAAACACTCTAAGTACAGAGGCCCCCTAGTGAAATAGGAATTAGTTTAAAATATTAGAAACAACTCATGTTGTGTCACTTGTTGGGTGATACGGGATGGTGCGCACAGCATTTTATAGTCGCAACAGCGTCTTTTACACTAGCATTTCCATATTAATAATTTCTATATTGATTTTATTGATTATCCAACAATGATATACTCATTGAAACTAGATGAAATATAATCGCGGAAACACAATGTCAACATCGAGAGCATCTTTACGGTACTTCCCGAGTTACATCAAATTCCTAATTTCCTCAAATTTAAATAATAATACAACGAGAAAATTACACTTACACGAAAAAATTTATAAAAAGTAACTATCGGCAAAACACACACCGTACTATGAGACTTGCATGTAACTCATACCGAACACTTACATGTTCTCCAAAACAGCCGTTTGAAGTCATACTTTTAATTCCCAGGTTCACGAACAAACAAATTTGCCGCAATCGTTCAGAGTACAACGACCCATAAGTGCTGCATAAAGTTTCCAGTTTGCTTGTCGTTTAGATCGGCATTCTTAACTAAACTGCATCAATCGATTACACATTTGTTTATACAGGAAACGCTAACCGCTAATAATTTCATGTTCAGTAAAGAGGCTTTTGCGAATTCTCGAGCAACGCCGGGTTAACTCGGTTATTATTTCCCATTCAAGCAGCAAACTAAAGTAATTATAAATACAGGGTATAGCATAAAGCTGTACCGTAAACCGTGCCAAGGCCGCTTTACGGTTAGCTCTCCTCATCACACCAACACTTCCTACGTGTCCCAGCAGCACACCTCCATNATTTAAGCTTATATTTTCACATTCAATTCGAGGCCATTGTGATAAATAACACGCTGATATAAGAATTGTGCAGTGTTACACTTGGTAGTTGGCAAATCCGCCTAATTGTCGAAGTCGTTCATAAGCACGTAAGATTCAGCACCTGATTTCTTAGGCGTCATATTGAACGCTGCTGAACCATATTTGAACAAAATTATTTGCCCAGTCATACACCTGTCTCTTATACACATCTAGATGTGTATAAGAGACAGGAACAGTGCCATGCTAGAAAAAAAAGAGTTAAACAAGAAGCATTTGAGAGCTGATGCATCAGAAAAATATTATTGTTCGGGCAGTGACTTGTATTATGCTTGTATCTTACAGCATTTGTAAGTGTTCATACCTACAAAATAAAAACCAATTAGAAGAGCTGGCGTAGCAAACTCGGCCTCTGAATGCATGAACTAAATCGAGATCTCCTGGCTTCAACAAAACCGAAAAAGATGCATCATTGTGCCGAAAATTCTAAAACATAGTAAAAATATTAGAAATGAAAATTATAAGAGAAAAAATGCATAAAATGTTGTGCCCTCTCACTGTTGTTGCTAGGCGCGTCGACGAGGTCGTCGGAGTCATCATCGGAGTCGTCGTCTTCATCAGCGCCGCCGTCGCTGCCTCCTCCATCGACAGCGGCGAGCGCGGGCTGTCGCATTTCTTCCCATACTTTGTGGGCGACGTAAGACCTGACGTACACCGGGCAGTCCCTGCAACACAAGACGTGGCTTAGCGTCTTATTAGACGTTAACATTTTAATTTAGGACCTTGAGGCGACGTTTACGGCCCATTGTCTGCAACACAAGACGTGGCTTAGCGTCTTACTTGAGACGTTAACACTTTAATTTAGGACCTTGAGGCGACGATTACGGCCTGACGTACACCGGGCAGTCCCTGCAACACAAGTGTCTAACTATACCTACGTTAACGTATTAATTTAAAACTCGGGGAAATGAAGAGTTACGTATACGAGGCACGTACCCCTCAAGCAATTGACGGCGGCTATACGTTGCGAATAAATTAATTCAACGTGCAATCAATGTTAACTCGACGTGAGGTGCCTGGTGGGATATTAGGCACCACCGCCTCCGTACCCCACTTGCACCTACGAATAAAATACCTCGTGTTTTGTCAAACTAAATCGTACTCGCAAGAAGTTGAGGGAAAATTTTAAGGGAATGGTAGAAAAATTAATAAATTTAAAGAAAAACTACGAGGGAAACTGAACGAATGGTATAAACAGAAATTATATAATTTATCTTATTATTGTTTAAGATATTCAAGACAAGAAGCAAAGAAGCAGCGGAGACATGACACGTCGCGCTGCAGACCCGTGGCCTGATACGAGTATCCTACACACGGCTTGACCTTGTCCTTTGAGTGACATGCTCCCCACGCACACCCACAGTACGGAGTCGTGCCAAATGCACATCGCGTTTTGGCACAAACGCTTTAGTCTGAGCCTTATTATCATCATGAGGTCCTCTACCAGTTCTATTTTATTTTTTCCAAAGCCAGTCTATAGTTTCAAATTGTGTATATTCATGATATTTATCATAAGAAAACTAAATCAATTCATCCCACTACACCTCGCGTATTGTTTCGCGAGGCTTTTTATCAACGTGAGGTCCTAAACCTGTTCTTAGTTAAAGTATTAAAAACCAGTATCTAGTTAAATTGTGTATGTTCATGACTCACACACAACAAAAGGCGAGCACACTTCACAAGCAGCAACTTTGTGGTAGGTAAAAATCAATGTGGCATGTGATTATTGCTGCATATTCGAAAAGTGCACCTTTGAACATGAATATTTCTGCCGCAAGAATATATTGTACAAGGGGAAACTGGACGATTCCATGTAAATGATTCAGCTTAATAACAGGCCCATACAAGCTTGTTGCCTGTCACGTACCCAAATGCAAAGAAATTCAAATTTTAATAAAAGCATTCAAACGTTATTTGGACTTCTATCATAAGATTGTTTGAATAGCCATGTAAGAAAGAATTTTGAAGCTAAGAAAACATCAAGTGAATTTATTGTATTTTCATGGAAAAGACCAGCTTCATTTTTAGCGCATTTTCTCATTTATGGAAAAATGCACTATTATGCTCGCCATGTCCGTCTGTCTGTCTGTCCGTCCGTCCGTGACCTCAAGTTTTCGTCGACGAGAAAATGCGCTCTCTGTCACTCTGTCGTTGTTTGGTTACGAAGGTGGACAAATTTCCGTGAAAATATTTCTATTTATTTTCCTTCTGCACCGAGACATAGTCCAATCGTCAGGATTACTGGACCCTTTTTTACACCTTAAGCTCGAAACTGAATGAACCATAAATTAAAATTATTCCATATGTGGAATAATTCTTGCTAATTCTAAGTTGAGAATCAGATGGATAAATCTTGACCATATTGATCCTCTAAAGGAAATAAGATAACATCAACATATGAATAACATTCGCATGTCCAGGCCCTGAGAGCAGGACAAAAGGTTGGAGCTTGCTTGCAATCAAGTGGGCATCCGTGCAGCAGACACATCGCAAACAATTAACTGGTTTAAACAGTGCCTCTCGCAGGGGCCAACTTCCTTGTATTGACAGAGCGGCACGGCCAGTATATCACCTGCCCAACTCAGCATCAGCCTCAACTAACTGGGGCCATACTTTCAAAACTCGCTAAGTGAACGTAAGTACTTACGCTCTATTTTCTTGTCTATGATTGGTGGATTTTGATCAAAGGCCGTCAAAGATAGGCTAATTAACTTACGATCTCTTAACTTTTTTTGAAAAGTATAGGCCCACTGGACCGTTTCCGAGCTACACAACGCGTTGACGCGAATTTCTGCCCGATTGATTAGAAAATAATCGAAGTAAGCTCCGTTAATTGGTCCAGGTGAAACCCGCTGACACCAAGCAGATCATGCTCATGCTGAAGGCCAGATTAACACTTGGAACCTCACAATATAAAAAATTATCATTTTAAACAGGAAAATTTAAGCCACACAATTTAGCGGCATCTATTAAGAGGAAAGAACATCACGTGGCTGTCAATCGAATGCGACGAGGCGGAAAAACCAAAGAGAAAGGTGTCGCCGACAATTTCCTAGAAAAACTTTGTGAAAAACTGGAATGGCTATAGGCAAGGAAATGTATATTAATTATATAGTTTAGACTAGCATCTGTAAACATCATAAACACCGTGCAGTTACAGGGAGCAAAGATTAGTAATGGACGATGATAGAAGAATAGCCAGCAAGCAATTTCATTTAAGCTTATATTTTCACATTCAATTCGAGGCCATTGTGATAAATAACACGCTGATATAAGAATTGTGCAGTGTTACACTTGGTAGTTGGCAAATCCGCCTAATTGTCGAAGTCGTTCATAAGCACGTAAGATTCAGCACCTGATTTCTTAGGCGTCATATTGAACGCTGCTGAACCATATTTGAACAAAATTATTTGCCCAGTCATACACATATTGTTTTCGTATCACAACTTAGAGGGCGAAATTATGAGCAGCATCGTTCCTCAATGAGAGCTTCAATTAGCTAAAACGGTCAAGTCGTGAAACACCACACGGGATGCGCTAGGCAAACAGCAAGAAAGAGCCAGGTGATTCAAAGGCTTTAATTATACTGAAGCGTTAGTGTCATACTTGAGGTCATCATCATATTAAGTCATATTGAGTGCTCGTGAATTATACTTGGCTGTCCCTAGACGCAGACAATTAAAAGCGGCATGAATTGCGTTCGGCTTCATGGTGAAGGAATGTCCTCAAAATAATCTAATGATCCGTCGACAGAAATTTCATCTCCAAGGCTAAATTCATCTCTGGATAGACCCATCACGAGATGATTTATATATGCAGCTTGTCCTTTATATTGGGGCAAGAGCCATACTTGCTTCACGGAACGAGTTGAGATCCGAAGTGTCTCTGAGTGTGGGTCGCAGCATATGACGTTGCAACACGGCACACTAAGTCAACAATTTTACAGCTGATGCAACAAAACTGCACCAACAGTGTAAACGCAAGAAATCATAAACATACGAGAGCGTGGGAGTAGAACACAAAATCTGCAGTAAATAATATGCATAGTTGGAGTTCTGGATATTTCTCTTTAAGAGTTAACGAACTGTGTCGTAGATTTCACATTGTATGTGAGGTAAGTGAGCCTGGCTAGCCGCTTGGTGCAATGTAAGAAGTGGGTCCGATTAAAAAGCAGTAGATACTAAATTTGATCGATACTGCGATACAACTCCAAAACAGAGAAGCTACAAATAGTACGCTAATATAGGGTTACTACTCTCGTTCGCCGAAAACTTCTTAAAGGACACTTTTCTATGAGCCACGAAAGCAAAAATAAGAGCTCATCAAAAGCGAATGCAAGCAAAAAAACCGCCAGTTCGTCGGTTTTCAAAGACCGACGCAGTGGCTCAGTCCTCCATTTACGTGACGAAAGTGAAAGCTCCTTCACTGTCGGCAATTGCAGCACGGCCAAAACACTTGATGTCTAGCACTTCCTAATGAGCTCAATTGCATCAGTGAGGAGAGCTTCACAGCACCATACGCAACACAAGAAACAGCATCACGTCAAACTTGGCCACCTTAATTGCAAACGCTTCATCACCACTCCAATATTATTCCTATCAGATATCTATATTTACCCGCTACTGCTGCCGCAAGTCAAGCCTCTTATCACTGATGATATTACTACCTGAGCTATATAGTGAGCCATCACCGCCACGGACGATTGATCCCAACATTAGACATGGAGCTGTTTTTGCTTAATTGGGAGTTAGCCCATTCTTTACTGTGCGGATAAATTAATAGTTTAATTAACTATGTCCATAAAATGATCATCGTAAGTCTCATGGGGCAACTCGGGGCTAATGTTCATGTCATTCGGCAAGATGGCATTATTGCGATCGTAATAATAATCATCAGTCACAACGAAGCTCTAGATTGTGCGTTCAGTTGTTAATAATTTTAGTTTTTAACTCACTATTCGTATTATCAATTGCATTTCAGATATCAGTACCTATTAATTATTGGGTTCCACGAAGTGTTAATATCAAGAAGAGCGGTTACGGGCGACTATAGTCATCGAAACGTTCGAATTGGTTTAGTATTTCCGAGGCGAGGCAGGGCGTGCGAGTGGGCCTGGCAAGCAGCGAGTCTTATATTTGAGCAGGCTGCATGAGGTGCTACATGATATCTTATAATTGAGCAGGCTCAAGTGTTGGATTGACTTCAAGAAACCCTATTGGGAATTTTCGAAGGATTTGTGTCGGCGTAAATTTGGGCCGTATACGGTCGGCAGTCAACAAGCTCCATCGAAACGTTCGAATTGGTTTAGTATTTCCGAGGCGAGGCAGGGCACGCGAGTGGGCCTGGCAAGCAGCACATCGTATAATCAAGCAGGCTGAAGTGTTGGATTGACTTCAGGAAACCCTATTGGGAATTTTCGAAGGATTTGTGGCGGCATAAATTTGGGCCGTATACGGTCGGCAGTCAACAAGCTCCTCATTTCATGCGATTGAGGGAATATCGTTTTTATCTTGCAAATAAGTTCATACTTTATTTCATCAGCATCTAACAATTTTTTTCACACAATTTATTCTAATATAGCACATTATACAAAATTTGATGGTTAGTATTTATCAGGATATAAAGAGAAAATACTAGTACCTAATCTTGACCAGATCGCTTTTCG